GGTGTGTCGAAGAAAGCGTGGGATGCAACGCGTTCCCGATGTGACGCTGGTCAGAAAGAAATAGACAGGTAGACGGACTTGTTGGATACAGAAAAAAACACTTTCAGAAGTAATATTTCTTTAGTGAACTGCATGTTTCTTTACTCCTGCAAGCAGCCCGTGCAGCGACCCTCTGCCAAGGCACGGAGTTCATGGTCTGAGTGTCTGTTGTTCAGCACATTTGCTGCTGGCACCGTTGAGGTCCAACACATGGCAGCACTCTTTGAGAGTTCAAGCCCAGCGCCGGGGCTCTGAGCTGGACCTGCCAGCTCCACAGTGGCCTGCTGTAAGGGAAAATTGTCAGCGGGACCTTTTAAGGTCCCAAACCACAAGCACTGATAAATGGCTGCATTTCTCTCCGCAATTACCTTCAATCCGGGGTCCCTTTTTCCGAGGGGCCAGGAAGGAAACGGCACAGACCAGCTACAAAGTGTAGTTGGTAACTAAACACAACAGAAAGGCTCTGAACCCTTATTAAATGAAGTATGCTTCTGCTGTGTGTGATTTAAAAATAAAGATGGGGGTGGGAGGAGGTGGAGTCGAGTTCAGCCAATGTGTTTTTCATTTGAGAAAAAGGTCAAATATACTGGACTGGACATTTGTCCATTTGTCCTTTTTTGCTGCCCATTATTACTGTGTGTATCATTGTGGTCACAACATACAGTGTACACGAAATACAAGAGCAGTGATTTGAAGAATAGTGAACACTTAACTGCCCACTTAAAATCCAATAGGAAAATGTGCAGATTCAATTGAGATTAAAACAATAAATGCGTGTGTTGTTTGACATATTCATATAATTACTGCACAGCTGTTGTAACATATGTGCAGTATTGTATTGTAACATTGTCACCTTTTGTGTTAAATATTTGTATTTCATCAAAAAGAATAAGCTGTTTCATCTTTAACCAATTTGTGTTAACTAGACTAGTTTTTTTAAGGAGATTTACCTTTTATAACTAAAGTTTTTTTCTTTTTCTTATGACGCAAATGATTAAACCTTTGCGAATGATGGAACTAAAGTAACCAATTAACGTTGTGAGCCTTGATCCACATGCATTTTGAAATAAGTGCAGGATGCTAGCCAAAGTAAAACTTGTCCTCTAAGGCTTTTTACAGCTAAAATAGTACCTACTCCTGTTCTCCTAAGGCTGCTGCTGTGTCGATAATCCTTTCCTCTTCAATCCATCATCTGCAAAATAAACACAGGCCGCCCCCACCTGTGTCTGCCTGAGAGGGGGCGAGGGCCCGTTAACCTGCTCACACAGGCCACCGATTCCCCGCCTCGCCGGTCAGATTATTTCCACGGAGGCGGGTGACTTTCTTGTTGTCACTGATAAGAGCGCGGTAGGGTGGCGGCAAGAGGGTCAAACCACAAGGGGAATAAATAAAATAAAAAAACTCTGGAAAAAGAGCAGAAAAAAATCCTTATCCCCTAGAAATAGTGCTTTTCCCCCCCAAACTTCTTCACCGTGGCGCAAGGCTATTACACTGATAGAAATTCTTCTCCCTCCTCGACCGTCTGGCCCTGAGTACGCGAGGGGGCCCAGAGTCTTAGCCGCATCTCAAGCTAATTTACAAAGATCCCGAATTATTCTCTTATCTCGGGCTTTAAAGGTTGTAAGGTTGATTAACAAGGCTCTGTCCTGTTTATCAGTTTGGGAGGGGGGGGCTGGGGTGTGGAAAATAGCCTGCGATAAGTGCACAGACCATTAAACATTCTATTTCCCCTAATATTTGTCGGCAACCATCTGCCTAACTGATCTCCCTTCACTTTAATTAAAAGGGATTCCCGTCTTGTTGGGGTCATTATGCGCTGGCGGACGCCAGGAGAGGAGTTTGTGATGAGTTCAGCGTTCCCTCTGTCCCTGGGTTGCCAGAGGGCTTCTTTTTTTTCAGCCTCTCCTCCAACCTCGTCTGAGTTAACCCCTTCCCACCCTGATGCACTTACACCTTGTTATTTACCGGGCGAAGCAAACTACGGAGACTTGGTAAGTCCAACAATTTTAAAAGGGATATAGCATTTGCAGGTGCAAACTTTTTTTTCTTCTTTTTTTTCCCCGCCGGGGCAGTGGAAAGATATTCACACTATCTCCCTCCACTCCGGGGCGCGAGACCTCTGGCTGTAATGGTTTGATTTGCCCAACACTAGTTGGATCGATGCAGCTGTTTACAGTTTCTCCCTCTCTCATCCCTTTTGTCTTTTTTCTAATTTAGTGTTCCCAAACCATGGACAGGGGTCTGAGTCGGTCTGCTGTGCTTGCATCTTTGCACTCCTCCCCACTCTCCATCACTGTCCATTGATGTTTTTCCCCTCTCTTTCTTTTCCTCCTCTTCCTCTCTCCTTCCTTGGTTGGTCTTGGAAAAAGAGCTGCATGCCTCCACACTTCTGGACAAGACTGATGGCTCGTCAATAGCATTAGCCAGCGTTGCAGGCCTCACTGGTGTAGAACCAAATCAATAAGAGCCAGTAAAAAGTTGTGTATGTGTATGTGGTGTGTCCTAGCCAAGGCTCATGTTACCACAGATGAGTTTTTATAAGAATTCCGGGGTGACCATCTATTTTATTCTCTTTTAAATTCACATTTCATGAGCAATGCACTAGCATTTCATAAGTGCTTCTGCTCACTGTCATCCAGTCTCTTTTAGTATAATTATGAATTCCACCCTTCAAAAAGTTGAAAGAAATGTCTCTATTAAGTGTTACATTAAATATGAATATTTCAACTTTATAGTTATTATATAAAGTAGTTGAATATAAAAGTATTTACTGCTCTTTCCCTCTAAAATATGGAAAATGTGCCTTTAATTATAGTTTACATTTACAATCAATTAAAATACTAAATAGATTTATATATTTTCAATGCAGTGACGATGGTGGTTGGTTTGTAAACATATTTAAAGGATTTTTCAGACGATTGCACATTTATGAAGTAGAGTATACTGAATATAATTAACCCACAGAATTATTGGTCTGTATTGTCATGACCCCGACATACTCACCTATGTTTTTACTGATAATTTCATACAACACAAATAAACACATGCTGACCTAGTTGAGCCGTAGTAGATTCACAGTGTGACTGTTGACAGTGTTACACATCCTTCACTGACTGATGTCTTCTATTGTTGTGGTTTATAGATTAAAACAAGTTTTTCAGAGGGTAACTGGTTTCTTAAAGGCATATGGGATTTTGGTTTAACAAATATCTCTCTCTCGTGTGTGTGTGTGTGTGTGTGTGTGTGTGTGTGTGTGTGTGTGTATATATACTGTATATACAGCTATATACTGCATGCTGCTAACTAAGAGAATGACAGCGGCTTGTTTTGCGTCTCTCATATAATGACAGAACAGGTTTGCCATGTCCTATCTCACCATACTTAACTCTGATATGTTGGTCCAATTTTCTTCGTTTGTGTCGGAAACCGACGTCAGAAAAATAACATCTAACCCCAGCAAATCATTTATTTATGCAGAAACTCCAATGGACTGACTAAGGTCAGACGGACTGATGGACATCTCTGCCCCGTTAACCTCTCTACCCCCCCAACACCTCCCACACACTCTCCCTCTCCCCCTGGTACCTCCCTCCCCAGTTCGGAGAAAGAAAAGCTCTTATTGTCAGTTTGTTTGTCTGTACGTACACTCACGCACACACACACACACACACACACACACACACACACACACACAGCAAAGAGCGCTGCTCCTCAAAGGTCAGCTGAGGGCTGTAGCCTGTTTGGCGGGCCAATCGATGGCTCGCCAGAAACATGGACAGTAGCGGGGAAGTCATCTCAGCGGCGGACGGCGCCCACCGCCCACCGCCTCACTGGTGGGAGGTCGTCACCAAGAAAGAGAGTGTGTGTGTGTGTGTGTGTGTGTGTGTGTGTGTGTGTGTGTGAGTATGTGTGTTTTGAAGATGGGGGGGTGAGTATCTTTTACAACCCTGTATGATCAATAGCATCTAGCGCTATTATTCTGAAATCCTGTGTGTGTGTGTGTGTGTGTGTGTGTGTGTGTGTGTGTGTGTGAGTGTTTTGCACTGTTCTCAACAATGACAGGATCAAGGAACTGGTGTGTGACAAAGAGGAGTGGTGTCTAATTCAAGGTCAATAAGGCCCGTGTCACTCCTTCCCTTTCACAGACAGGAGGAGGCATTATGTTCCCGTTGGTTACCAGAGCACACACGACATCCCTGCTCTAGCTCATATCAATTTGTAATTTGACCCCCAGTCACAGCGAATGATGTCAGCACAGGTCGCTTTTGCAAAGTGTCCCTGCATTTGTCCGTCGTCGTTGTCAATCTCTGTCAGCGATGTTTTGTTCTTCTATTGTTACGTGTTTTTATCCCCGTTGACTGATGTTAATATTTATATATGTTAATATTCTTCATAATTCATTCACTTCAATTGTCGATGTTTTGCTAGATCTCTTTAATAAAGGGAGGAACGGTTTGTTCATTTCAAATGACATTTCTTTTTATGGCATCTTCTGTGCTTCTTTTTTTGAATGAAGCCAGTTTTAAGTACTTTTAGTACATTTTCTCTCATAACCTCTAATGGTTACCTAATAACCCTTACAAAATAAGGGTGTTTAATTTAATTCCCGCATATGAGGCTGCATGTCCTTTGTTTCCCTCGGTCAGTGACCATCTTACTAATTTGCTAAGACTAGCAGCACCTTCTCCTCATGCCAGTACATCTTTTAATAACTCTATTAATCTAATCGTCCACTAATTGGTCAAGATAGCCTTTTCCCTTGTGATTTTTATCACAGAGCAATTAAGAGCCCGGTAAAACCTGCTGAAATCGGTGTCTTGTTAAAATGGCTTGATTGACACATTGTTTCGGAGCTCTGCATTTTTTTTCTCATGACATGACGGAGAAACCTGTCTTTTCAATCTACTCTCATAAACTTAAATATAATTACAGAATTTGAAAATAATTGCAATGACAAAATGCCAGTGACTGATAAATCTTTAATATAAAAATTGTACAAGAATTCTGATACAAATTACAAGAGGTATTTGGACAAAATATGAATAAAATTCCATTTACATCCCAAAACCCTTATGCATTTTATGCAAAAACCATAGACAGTTATAATACAGAAACAAATACAAGAAAGGCAACAAAAAAAAAGAAACAATAGAAAGAAACAAGTCTTTTAAAAAGAGGACTATTTTTCCCGTCCTGTCTGCAAATGGGAAACACCTGTTTAGGGACATACAGTATTCATGAGGCTTCCGAATCACCATTTCTACGCAAGCTCCTCTGCTCGGTTCGTTCTCTGCAGTGTGACGATGTAGCCATGCAACGCTGTCGAGTGCCAGTGCACCAGTGTTAAATGAAAACAGGACTCTAAATTCACCAGGTCTTCAAGTTGTTTTTATACTTAAAGACTGTAAAATATAATTGGCACAATGGAAAACATGAAATGAATTAATTCTTGATATTTCACAGGTTCCAGTTTAAATTAATGAGGGTATATATTTTAGGATATTTCACATGAGACTGCAGCATCTATACAAATATGCGTGTGTATTTCTCTTCTATCTGCATATTTCTTGTGAGGTCCCATCTTTGTTGAGCTACATTAACTGGAAAGTTTGCATTGGGGTGTCACCTCTCACCCTCGCCGCTTAGACCCATTGTCCTCACTCGATCCGTGACGTGAACAAAACGGACCGTGAATAACAGGTCAGCCGCTTCAGCCGTTGTGTGCTGTGTAGAATTACAGAATAATTGATGCCCGGCGCTCTTATCAAATATTAAAGATTCACTCCAGCGGTCGGGGGGCCGGGGGGGGGGGCAATGGGGCTCTCTGTGTGACGTGTTCTCGCGAATCCGCCGGCCCGCGGTCGCTAGGCAGCACAACGCACCTGGGCCCATTGCGCTTGGAGAAGTGGGAAAGACAAAGATTGGATTGAGGACAGGACGGGGTGGGTGGGGCCCTGTTAAGTGAATGCCGCAAGGCTCCATCCAGACCACCTTCTGAGCCCGATCTCCCCTCCTCACAGCCTCTCTCTTTCTCTCATCGTTAGTCTTTCTTCCTCCCAGAGGTTCGCCTGTTCTTAGCTCTGTTTTCAGCCATTTGCAGCTCCCGAGCTCTGCTGGCGTCACCATCACCATGCAGGACCCGTAAGGAGCCCGTAGGAGGAGGGTGCTGTAATATTTTCTGTGATTATTCAGGGTTTTTTCCCCGGCCCGGCACACACGAGAATACAAACTGAGGTTGTGCACTGAAGACTACTCTCAAATCAAGACGAGCATAGAAGCTGAGGTTAATAGGGCAGTGTTCACTGATGTTAAGATAACAGCTCTTCTTATTCTGCGTCCAAACTCAAAACGCTTTCTGAATTAAACAGAGACCTCTTTAGGTAAAACATCTCCATTAATTTGCGGATGGATATTTGATTGAGACCATAATAACAGAGGCCTTACGTTCCGGACGCGGTGCTCGCTCACACCCTTCTCCATAACATGACGTTGGCTTTCTATGTCGTGGCAGCTGTGATGTTTCCTGCGGCTAGAATGTTTCTCTGTCCCCATCTCCTCCGCCACTAGAGGTTAACAAGTCATCTTGTTCCTGTCATCTCTCTGGCCTGTAAGTAGGAATAATGTGTGAGTGTGTACCACTCTCCTCTGTGTGCGCATGTGTGTTTGTACGGTTGTGTGTCGGAGAGACAGCTGTCAGCGGGGTTCCTGGACTAGCACTTTTTTTCTTCTCTGTCACAGCGAGAGCCGGGGGGGGTGGAATGAATGAATGAGGCGGCGAGCGCCTCGGTGAAACCCACTCCAGGGAGAAGGCAGGGGTTCCTGTACTCAATTTTCCCTTCACTTGGGATAAACAGGCAATTACCCATCCCTTTTTTTTTTTCCTATGCCATGGCCGTCCGGTGAACTTAAGCATACACTATTAGTGTGTGTCCCTGTAGGACCTGCGCTGTGGGGTGTGGCGGTGGATAAGTGAGTGGCGGGTTGAAGAAATGGCTAAGGCGGTCGTTAAATGACTGTGTTCTGACTGACAAAGAGAATAAACGCAACGCGCGAAAGCAATCGAATTATCAGAATGAGAACAAGCACGCACAGAAAAGGAATAGATGAATTGGATTCAACTTAAAACGAACGGGTCAAATTGAATTGTTCTGAGCGCGCAATGTCTTTCCCACTTTTTCCTCTTTCGCTCGGTGTCACAGTCTTGTCAGCAACCTTGGAGCCTGGCAGTGTAACGAAGTGACAAGTGAGTTATTAGACAGAAGAAGCTGGAATGGCAGGGACGCCTCCAGGTAACGGAGAAGCAGCACATTTTTAATGATCGTTGCTGTCATCCTTTCCTCCCTAGTCAGCCTTCCACCTCCGCAACCTTTCCATCAGCATCAGCTCTCTCCTCGCTCCCTTTATCTCACAGAAGAGACTGAAAACTGCATGTGTCATAAGGGTGGAGTCTTTAAAAAACAAAAATGAGGACATGAAATACTTTACTACAATAGGTCATGTCTGTATTGCAACATGGACTTAAGTATGAAATGAATGGAACTCAACACTATTATCGATGTAAGGTGTTAATACTGTACAGCACACCACATAACACTGCATATTTTCCCCTCTGTGTGTAGCACCAGTCAAGTAAGAGAAGATCTCCATGTATAGTAACACAACGCATTGCTAATACATTGATAAACGAGTCGAACTGAGGAACAATCTCTTATTTTTTGTCTTTTTACAAAAAATATTCTCATACTGGACAAAAACATCTCGATGAAGATACATCACCCGCCAATAAATACCCCTTCCCTTGGCTACTTTGCCCAGTTACTGGAAATATTTGTACCGTAAGACAGTCACGGACATGTTAAAAATGTCTGCAAACAACAGCCAGGAAAATGGCAACATTTTTCAAAAAGTACATTTCTAGCCGACACTCAGCAATGGCAACCGATACCGAAAATATTACAGCAAAAGATTTAAGACTGAAGTGCATCATATTGATTCAATGGGGCATGATTTTAAGCAAACACTTTTGTTTTGGTCACAGTTGAAAGACAATTCTGATCTTTTTCTCTTTTGTGAAAACAAACAGTTGTTGCACTGATAACTTTGTTTGACAATGTGACAATAATGTCATGCTTTACACAGATTTCCCCACTCAACCTCCTGAAGGATTCGCCGGAACCATAACTGGCCACCGTACACAAATTTAACAAAAAGAGGAGCAGGGACTTTATCAACACTTAACTCCTGTGTGTTTGTGAAAGAGCAGTTTGTGTTCAGTCACACTTGGATTGGATTTGAGGCGCTTTCTGAATACTTTGTTTCACGACTTGGGCAGATCTCAGATTTTGATCGGGGAGGCGAAACGTATTCTGTGTTTGAAACCGAGCACGTGCAAAAAGAAACTGGCACAAGTATGTTGAAGGTATTGTCATTTACCTTTGCACTGTAGCCATCAATGACCCAGAATAACACCTAAACTCACCATTGCAAAAGTCCTCATTATAATAATATTACACATCCCCTTGTATAGATGCAAAGTGCAAAAAATGAATTTGTATACTAAAGCTCATAAACATAACAGACAAAAAAATAAAAAGTGATATCAGTGTAGGAGCCTAAAAAAGCATGCCGGCAACCTCTGAATATCTAACAAGTAGATAAAACAAGTCACATGATATTCTTTTTTTTCCTAGGACTCAGTTTAAAATGTGTCTTTGAAGCTAACATAAATGAGTCAAGCTAGTAAGATGCTACCTCTTTCTTGCCTATAGCTGGAAGTATTGTACTGGACTGTAACATAAAACCATAACGAGAGAGAAAAAAGAAGCAAACAACCATCAACACAACTCTTTTACACCAAAAGCCTCTTGGGACGTTATTTACAGATGAAGCTGTCATGCTTTTGTAACGGGTTCATTTAAAAGCTATCATTACACAAATACAACGAGAAGATTTTCTTTTTTCTTTTTTTCTTTTTTTCTCAGTACTATCAATTCTGCAGGCAAAGTCACAAATAAGAGTTTGAATAGATTCTTTGGAGGTTGGCATGAAAAAGTGGGGAGAAGTCTGAAAAGGAAAGACGGAGTAGTTTATGAAAAAAAAAAAAAAAAAAAGACTGGAGTTTTGTTATAAAGCAAACTCCATGCGCAAGAGCGTCTTCCTTTTCTTCCAAAGAAGGAAAAGTCAAAGGTCACAATAATAAACTGTATTTAGAGTCGATGAATTTTATAGAGGGACATAGAAATGTCTTGCAATGACTTTCAGAGGACGGGCAGTAGGCATACAGGCGTTTAGCTTGTATTTGATGGCCCTGGGCTGGGACTAAAAGCTAATTTGAGGAAGAATAAGGGTGAGGAATGAAAGGAGGAGTGGGCCGACTGACAGCAGGGTGGAGTAGCGGGTCATTCTTTAGTCTATCATTGTAGAGAAGGGCATGTTTTTATGGAGGTTGGGGTTCTGAGAGTGTCGGTTACGGCTGCGCACAGAGCTGAACAACATGTTGCAACCGGGGATTTTGCACTTGTGCATCTCGCGCAGGTGCACAGTCTTGTAGTGCACACGCAGGGTTCCTTTGTTGCTGTACATTTTGTGGCAGATGTTGCAGAGGATCCCGCTGCTGCCACCGTTGCTGCCCCCGGTGGGCAAAAAGAGGAATGGCGAAGAGGAAGGTTCCGACCCCTCACCATGTCTTTCTCCTCTTAGTTCTCTAGTCTCATCCCGATGCCTTCCTTCTGCCTGCCCCTCGGCATGTTGGGAGTAGTCCTCCCCCTCGCTGTTGCCCTCATCCTCTTCTCCCTCCTCCTCCTCCTCCTCCTCCAAGTCATCCAACAGGATGCCTTCGTCGCTGCCCTCGTCTGACTCGTGTGAGGAGTGGACACTGCTGCTGGATTGAACGCTGGATGTGGTGCTCAGGTCCAACACCATGTAGTTGTCTGGCTGGCCCCGGGAGAAGCCGTTGGCGTGGGGGGTTTTGCGGTGGTGGTTGAGAGGGTGGTGGGGGTACTCACTGCTCATCAGGGAACGGGCACTGTGGTTCAGGCCAGTGGGCCGGAGGCTGCCGCCTCCGATGCCCATCCCGGCGTACGGGTCCAAGCCCATGTGGTGCCCGGCGTAGATCTTGGCCAGTAACTCAGCTCGCAGGTCCTTGGGCAGTGGCGGGAGTTGGGGGTCCAGGACAATGTCGTCCAGCTCTTTGGTCAGCAGTTTGCGGTGCAGGTTGATGTTGGAGCTGTGCCTGGCACTTGAATGTGGCAAGGACAGGCCATAATAGAAACGCGCCAGCGCCTGTGGGATTTTAAATTAACTCCTAAATACAAAATAGAAAAACGTCTTTTTGTTCTTCCTCGTTTCCAATCTTAATTCTATGAAATGGTACCTGGCTGCAAAGGCTACAGTATTTAAGAACAATGTCACACTGTCGTTACTAAGCTGTACACACGGGCAAATTCAACCTGCATCTCTTCTCAGAAAAACATTGCACATTGGAGCGAGCATCCTGCTAGTGTTTACCGCTGTCAGCATGTCTGCACTGCACAGCCCTCAAATCCAATAGACTGACTCAATTAAATACTCCACCATATTGAATGGGAGTTTATCAATTGATTCGAGCTGTGGTAATGTGATAATCGAGGGGAACTGGATAGCATATTAGCACTAGGCCCCGACAGCATTATTGCATTCGTTCCCTATTGGAGGTGGCTTAATCGAGCACCCCAATGAACATGTCTTTATGTAGCGCTGGATTTAATTAAGATGGGCATTTTTCCCAAACACCAGGCGAACAGTATCACACAATGTACTACAGCTGATGAAAGCAGCAAACGCCATGCTTAAGCCAAGATACAATTAGTGACAATTTCAGTTAGTAAATAAAGCCATGCTACAAGATGCAAGGTGAAATGAGCTTACAAAGTCCGAGTCAATCCCCTTTTTTTCGCTGGAATTTCACAGTTACCAAGTAGGACTGAGAAAAAGATGACCCACTGCACACACGTCACAAAACAACCGCATAACACAAAAGCAAAACTTAAGCAGCTAAATACCTGCGTCAGGTATGACATACACAAGGCCCATTCCTCTCATATAAGGTAAGCACTGACATCAAATATGAATAAAATATATGCAAACACTCCGGCCCTTTTAACGTGAGGGGTTTCCATGCAGGGAGGGCACAACTGTGTCAAACAAATTAAAAAAACAAAACAAAACAAAACAAAAAAAAAAAGGTCATCCTTAGCAGGATGGGCAAAAATGGAGTCACAATGGATAGTAGAGCTTACCAGCAGTGGCAGGGTTGATGCAGTCAAAAAGGGTCCCTTTCCTTTAATTATTTACTTCCCTATCCGACATTGTCCTGCAAGAGGTAGAAATACATTCATTTGAGGGACCCTTTTCTGTGAACCAGGCAACCAGGAACCCGTCCACTCAAGCATCGTCAGCATTGAGGAGAAAGAGCGTGGCAAATTGATCGCCGTGGCTGTCACTGCATGGGTGTGTATGCACACACATGCTTCTGTGTGTGTGTGTGTGTGTGTGTGTGTGTGTGTGTGTGTGTGTGTGTGTGTGTGTGTGTGTGTGTGTGTGTGTGTGTGTGAAAAATGGAAAATATACTACTTCCATACAGCGGGGCTTTGATGAAAAAAGGTTTACAGATTCTTTGTTCTTCTTTTGTCCCTTTGGTCAGTACAGTTACACACATATGGTGTTAACTTATGGCTAAAACATGGAAGTCGTGATTCAATGTCAAACACACGTGTGTGATCGCTTGGCCGTAGGAGGTCAGAGTGTTTTGAAATAGTCTGAAATGTGCTGTAGTCAGTGATCAGTATATGAGGACGGGGGTACCAAACGGGTTCCAACAGGGGCCACAGATTTGCTCAGTTAAGCCTGAAGCTGATGATGCTCGGGTAGGCAGGTCCTTTGGAACATGTCTCCATCTCTATAACAACACCGTCTCACTGCTAATAAGCTCTAAATTAGCCATGTCTATGTCAGTTTTAGATATTATAGTTAAACATGCTAAATATCATGCAGTAAGTAGTCTAATCTAAAGCTCTTAAATACTACACGTACACAATAGTATTAGAATATTACAACAATATCTATATAAATAATATATACATTTACTGTACAGGTATATGAAAAGAAAAGAAATGGAAGAAAAAAAGGCATTTCATGAAATATCATTTGCAACCATTTGTAAATGATTTAATCTCAAGAGATGAAGAGAAGAAGAGGAGCTCAGTTTATGATCCTTTCCATAAACATTTCTATTTAACTCCTGTGCAAAAACCTCCCTGACCTAAAAATCCAAATAAGACGTCTGAATCCACTCACAGTGGGCATAATGCACTTCTCCCGTCATTTATCAGGTTTAGACTTTATGCTCCCCCCCCACCCCGCTGTATCTTTCCTCCCCCCTCCCTCTGCCCTCTGCCATCTCCATCCCGTTGGCCCGTGATGTGGCTGGCAAACCAATTTGACTGTCTCATCTTTGCCCAAAAGATGGGGGAGGCCTCCAGAGAGCCTCTTTCTGGCTGTGCAGAGGAGGGAGAGCGAGAGTGTGTCCGTCCCAACCGGCGTTAATCATCTTTAGGTTTGTCTGATGGCCCTCAACCTTGTTTTTTTTTTGGTCTGTGTGTGTGTATGTGTGTCTATATGACTCATAATGTGTAAATGAGATGGAAAGCTGAGTGTTGTTAAACTGACACCAGTGGTTCTTTGTCTTTCCTGTCATTTGGGGTGCGTTATGAGGTTTTAGGTGGGAGGAAAATAGTTTCAGTAACATTTATCACTCTCTGACACTGTTTTATCTGCTGTGCAGTGTTTCAGTGTGCTCAACAGCACAAGCTGCAAACAGTGGTATAGAGATCATAATCTCCAGATATAAATGAATGCACAGTAAGATAACATAAAAAAAAACATTTTCATGTACTAGAATTCTAATTGATGGCGTTATAAATCTACAAATTAAATAATCCCTCAAAATGCAGTGCAAAGATAATAAAGGGATGTTACATCATTGCGTATTTTAATTAACCGATATTTTGATCCGGAGTGCGTGGCTTTTGCTTACATATTCTCTCTATGAGCAGCAGGCCCTTCACTGATAAGAGACAAACAGAAAGCTAATTGTGAAGCAGTGGAGCCGAGCCCACATGCCGTAAGGGGACCGGGGGAAAGGAAGGGAGACGGAGAGGGGAAGGAGAGGGGAGGAAAGAGACTCTCCGACATAATTAACCTTCACTCTCTCTGCAGTGGCCCGTGCAGGGACCATAGCTACTCGCCGTAGTGACGGAGGGGCGCCGTTTGAGTGTTTGAGAGTGTTAGAAGAGAGAAGCAGGACATGCAGATGAAACAATAAAAATAAAAGAAACAAGGCAAGTGTCTTCAAAAGTTTAAAGGAAATATGAATAACGAGGCCAATAACTGTGATGATCGCTGGTACGCGTGTCTACCCAGCAGTTAATCACGCAGCTTCTTCAACACTTCTGCCGACGCCGCTCGCTCCCCACAATAAATATGCAATCATTTACCGCCGGGCGGCTGGCAGCTTGGAGAAAACACCCCAGCGTAAAACCACACACACCCACATTCTCTCGTGTTGGTCCGTTTCACACTTCACAACAAAACCATTACATGCTTGCTCAAGGGCACATTAAATCCTTTTATCCTTTCCTGCATCGCTCAGTGTGAGTTTGTACGGTTCAGCATGTGAACTAATGTTTGTTTATTTGCGTGAAATCCTACAGTCTCCTAAATTGGGCGGGTATCCAAAGGGAACGAACGCTGGGGATACTTTTGTTTCCGTGGCAGCAACATGTCATTGGTTTTTCTCAGTAGATCAAATGACCTCTCGGCCGTTTTCTTTTTTACTTTGATACCAGGGCTTTTGATGCCGGTGTCGGGTGGTGTGTTAACGTGCCTTTTCACTCGGTCAATGGGCTAATCAGATATGCAGAGGTGCTTGGACTTTTCACGTGGCTGTATGTCTGTTTGGGAGGAATCGAGAAGAGGAAACCAGGCGTCGTTGCATATTAAAATACTGCCTTGGCATGTGTTATTCCAATAATATCGACAAATAACCACATGGTTACCTTCATCTCATGAAAGTGAAATGTGGCTATTATTTTAATGGTTGTTTTTAGTTATAAAGAGGATTATTTTGTGTTGACTGTTCCTTTTCTTTATGTCTAAGATGACAGAGCAGCTTCTGAAAAATCCTGTTTGCAAACACATCTGAGGAGGAACATTTAAGTTTGTCTAATTTAATGTACGTTCTCAATAACATTTTGTGCAAATGTCTTCATGCAGTGTAATCTGCAGTGAAAATCAAATGAATTATATTCCAGTTTTATTGCAGCCGTTACACTCAAACAGGCTTTATGTTGTCATGCCAGGGACAGATTTGACGTGAGCCCGGTTTGTGTATTCACTGTATCTCAAAGCTCCCGGATTCCTCTGTCTTTGTAATGTTCTCCTTCCTGCTTTTTTGCTCCCGGTTTGAACCAGCGGCAAAGTAATATGTCCCATATGCTATTCAGAATTTATCCCCCCAGAGAGAAAAGTATGTAAACAATAGGCTTAGGTGACCCAGAGATATACCCCCCCCTCCCCCCCCCCACACACACACACTTCAAAGATGCTTCACAGCAGCAATTGTCCCTCTTAACTACGAAATGGTCTCTATCTGCCCAATGTTCTGTTTGGATTACGTTTAAATACTGGTGTTTTATCATGGAGTCAGTTTGTCACACACAGATAAACACACAAACATCTAGATTGATTCAGGAAGAAAGGGAGCATTAAGAGAGTTAAGGCGTTGCTGTTTCTCGGTGTAATATAGTGTATTTTTTAAGCTCTGAATCACTCTGCTCACCATTGCCCCCCCCTCCCCTCTTCTTTTCTGATGATTATTTTATGTTTTAGCAACCTTATTCATTTTAGAGACACATTCCACGAGTCGTCTCATGGTCCTGATTACCGATTCCAGGATGAAGAGACTTTGTTACATAACTGAATTGAACTGTCTGAATTACGCTATCCATCTTTGAACCGACGTGATTCTGATCAATATCTGCTGATTAGCAACGGAGCTGGATTCATAAGAGTATTTTCAACTCTCTCTACTATCTACCATTGAAATATTTTCTCAGGTGAAATTCCCCTCATCTTCCTTTTTGGAATTCAGTCAGAAGTCCAATCAACCACTGTGACAGCATTAAGAGAGTAATCACAAAGGGATACGGTAGACGGTTTTGCATCTGCATGTGTGTCTATGTGCATACACATGTTACGCAGCAGGTCGGTCACACCGCAGGCACCCTTTGCTCCTAAAGCCTTGTCAAAAGAAGGCACTAACAAACCGGTGGCAGTTGGCCACACTGAGGCAGTGCATGCTATAATAACCCCTCCTGTCAACTTGCTGCTGTCGGCACAGTTGCGTCAGGTGAGCAGCAGGGTGTCACCTTCACTAATGTTACCGTGTCTCCTGTTCTGCTCCCCCTGTTCCCCTCCCACGTTCATTCTAATAGAGTCCCAGATTCACCTGCTTCCCTTTACATGCTGTTAATGAACAAACCCCGGTAGGAACAGATGCCACCAAACAAAAAACAAATGTAATCAAAGGCTTGGGGTGGAGAAGGAGCAGTTTGTGTGGTTGGGGGGGCTGTGGGTGAGACAAAACACACTGAGGAAAAATGTTCTCTGGGAAGAATTGTTTCCCAATTGTTACTAAGTAACTAAGGAGTGTGTTAAAAAAGATGTCTTCCTTAAATAAAAAGCAACCCTGTCACAGATGTTGCAAGATAAAAAAGAGATGAGATTATACAAAACAGTTTCTATTATGTATGAATATAAGGTTTTTTTTTAAAGGATTTTTTACTGTCTATGTGAAGTATTCTACTTATTAACCACATCACCTTAAAGGTGCTCCTATGATGCAACCCCCCCCCACCCGAGTGGGTTGGAGGAGCCTGTGCTCGCCCAGGGCAACCTGCTGCCACTCCTGCTGCAACATACTGTATATATTCTGCTCAGCGAGTGTGTGGGAATGATATGTGCTAACAAGCCCAGGTGAATAAAGCTAGCCTCACCTCCTAATGCGCTAATACATGCAGCGGTTTGACAGACCGCTGTCTGTTAATATATGCGCCTCCACAGCTATCACAGGGTGAGGTAGTGAGGGCAGGTAAACAACACACTGCAGCTGCAGGGTGGTTGGGTACTGCCTACCGCTTCTTTGGAAATGTGTGTGTGTGTAAGTGTTTTTAATCATGACACCCTACTCTTCTGAACTCTGACTTGCCACGGAGCAGATGTCCCGAAAACATTTTTTTAGTGTTGCATTAGCTGACAGATGTCAAGTGTTATCTTATCCACCTAAATATCGTACAGTATGGAATTACTATAGCTACATCTTTTTTTTTTAACACGAAGTGGAACGTCCATCTTTCACAAACATGCTCCGTTGATGACTTTAATGAAACCACTATTTCCCCTTTTAAAATGTAAGCATTTCTATTGAACCTACCGGCAAAACCGTTAACAAAAAATGGTTGAAGTTCTTGCACTAACCTGTCTCGGCTCCGCCGGGAAGGGAAGGCAGCGTTGCAGCCAGCCACAGTGCATACATGCATCTCTTTGAGGTGCACATTCTTGTAGTGCAGTTTCATGCTGTAGGAACTCTTGAAGCTCTTCTTACACACATAGCAAATCTTGGGGTCAGGACTTGAGCATGGATCTTCCTCTGGTGATTGAGAAGAAGGGAATTTGGGCGGACTGGCACCGTATCCCATTGAAGAGATGAAGCTCTCGTGTAGAGCAGCCATGCTTGCAGCAGCAGCAGCTGCCGCCATTCCTCCATTATAGAGGCCATACTGGCTCATGCAGAACATGTCGTAAGTAGGATCGTTGAGTTCTTCCTTGATTCTTATAGGTGGCTGATGAGGGGAGGACAAGGAATGACCCTTGCCTTCCATTTCCTTTCTGAATTGAGCCTCCTCACAACCCTCATCTTCTTGTTCCTTGTCCAGGCACCTTCCACTCCGACTGTGTTTTTGCTGTTCATCCACATCTATCAGCTCATCACGGTAAAACATCTTGGAATCTGAGGTTTCGGATTCGTTCTCAAAGTCTCTTTCGTGGTCCTGGTCCTCAGAGGTGAAGCTGCCCATACAACGAAGCTCGCCAGAGCCTTGAAGATCATTTCCACCCCTGCTTTCACTACCAGTCCCTTCCCTGCATTCATCTTCACTCTGTCTCATCATTCCTCTCATAGCTAGACCGGGACTCATCTCATCCTGGGAAGGGGATTGTTGCCCACTACCACCACTGTGGTTTCCAGTACCACTGCCACTGTTGTTGTTGCTGTTACAGTTACCATTCATTTTGATATTGTTGTGTAGAAGCGTTGAGTGATGGTGGTGATTATGGTGGATGTCATCGTCATCATCATCTTTGTCGTCATAGTCCTCCGCTACGTCAATCACTTCCTTTTCAATCTTCACTGGCATGCTTGATTTGCGAGGCTTCTTTTTGGGCGTAGGTTCACTAAGGCCAGTGTTGTGGTCGTGATTGGCATTATGTACATGCAAGCGGTGGGACATGGGTCCTACCTCTGACATGTGGACATTATTGTGTGAAACCCCTGCACTAGACAGGAGATGTTGTTGTTGTTGGTGGTCCATCAGGGAGGTACTGTTGGTGGTTGTGGGTAGGATGGGGCTGGTGGGCAGTGATACTGGAGGACTGACCAGGTCCGCTGGGGACAGTAGTGTGCGGTAGAACGGGGGCACCGGCTGGACGGGCTGCACTGACTTCAGGGAGGGGAACAACAGTGGGCTTTGCAGCGGTGACTGAAGCATTGGGTCCACCGGTGGAGTTGTGAAGCCCAGTGGTGGCCGTCCGGGGCTGGTGAGGGTAAAGCCACCATTCTTGCTGCTTGAGATGACAGGTGTACCAGTGGTTGAACGGATGAGGTCCTTGTCACGGTTGTTGCGCAGCATGGGCATGTGCAACCGCGGATTGGGATTAGCACTGTGGCGGTTGCGGCTGCGTAGTGAGCTGAAGACCATATTGCAGCCCTCGATGGTGCAACGGTGTTTGATCTTCAAGTGTACAGCGTTATAATGTATCTTAAGGGTACCTTTATCATAAAAGGTTTTGCCACAAGAATTGCAGCACACACGACCCTTGCGTGAGGTGGATCCCATGCGGCGCATGCGATGCATTTTGGAGGAAAAGGAAGCATGGCTGATGCTTTTTGAATGCTCGTCCTTCACAAAATGGTGGTGGACTTGGTGGTGAACTTGGTGGTCACTTAAACTGTTGGATTGCTGAGGTTGATTTTGGGACTGCTGTTGGCCCTGCTGCTGTTGGAGCTGCGTCTGCTGCTGCTGTTGTTGCTGCTGCTGTTGAGCCTGCTGGGTGGAAGGGGTGGGAGAGATGGGCGATGCCCTGTGGTTGGGCTCTGTTTTGGGTTCAATGTTGTTCATGGGTCCCATTGCTCCGCGACTAGGGCTCTGGCCTGTGCGGAAGGGTGACAGGGACACTTCTGACTCACTGGTGTCCACTTGTTCACCTTGGTTTGGCAAGCTGGGCTCCCGCAGCCGGAGAGCAGATGGCTCCATAGGCAGGCCGTTGGGGGGCAAGCCGAGCATAGGGGCAGAGACTGGGTTGATGTATTGGAAGGGCAGGAGGAAGGCTAAGCTGTTGGGGATATTCTCAAAATGGTGAATGCTGGATGGGCTGCTGCTTTCCAGTTGCGTCAGGATGCCTGGGCTGCGGGACCTGTTGTTGCTTTCAATGAATGTCCTGATCCCGGAGTCTGTTTTGGAGGAGGGAACTGTAACCGCCTGCCCTTCCTTCTCCTGAATGGCCATCAGTTCTACAATGGACTTGGTCTCACCAAAGCGCAGAAACTGCTGCAGGGTGATGATCTCTTCTTCTCGGGACATGATGGTCCAGCGGTCCAGCACCTTGCCTGCAGCATCCTAGATGCACCAGAAGAGACAAGAGAGAATACGAAATGCAACCATTATTGATTGCGCATAATCAGTTTGGTCAAAAGAGAATATAGAGCAAGGGTTAGTATGTCAGGGCAAGCTCTCCTGCACATGAAATTCTAATCCGGAGGGACGGAACTTTGTCAAATATCACTTTTTTTCGAGAAATCATTCCTGAGAATGTGGGCCACAGGTGATGACTGTATCCAAGAGTCTCAAGCAAAAACACTGTTGGGTGGTTACAAGCTTTCTGTGACTTACAATATTGTGGGGATATTAATCTGGGAGACTGACAAAACAGCTTTGTAAAAATGTGAACTCTTGCTAGGACTCCCTCTGTACATAAACGGCACCTAGGGATACACATACACAATTGTGTGAGCTAGAGCAGATATGGTAGAAATAATAGCATAATTAGTGCAGGCCACTAATCGCACCTCGGTTGTCAGGCATTTTTCTCAGTGCGTTCTCCATGTCTGAGGCAGTGAAATCCTTGAGGGAGGATGGGACTGCCACCCTATGTATCAGGGAACGACAAAGAGCCGACTCATGTTGATTTAAGCCTGGTTTTGCGTATTCCTTTCCAGCGGCATTAAGCCTGTGTTCCTTTCATTTGGCTGGCTGCATATTGACAGTAAGATATTAGTGAGGTCTAAAGGATCAATGTGTCTGACAGACGCAGAACCTTACATAAGGCCATTTATTATATCATTTAGAACAGTGTCAACTGATAAACCATTATGTAAACACTAACAATAGGTCATTTCTTAGGACTTTTTTCCAGTTTCCATCATAGGAGACCGTAACTATTCCGTTGGGAGACGACCATATTCCAGTGCCACTGCCCTTGTTACATAATATTTTAGATTGTGGATTTTTGCGTAAACGAGATATAAATCTCGATAAGGCCAGACAGAGACGTAGTGTAAATACTTCACACACAGGTTCCCGGGGAACCAGGCTTAGTGATATCAAGGGAATAACGCAAGCGATGACAATTAGTCACAGGGAAATGGTAACACTTCATATGTGCTCCCAGCTACTGCCATCTATAAAAGATAAATGGCAACTCTGGTGTGGAATAAAAAGCTATAAAAACCAACATCACAAAGCACAAAGGGTCTGTAAGGAGAAAACAGAAGATAAATGTTTAAAGAGAGGCAGTGAAAGAGAGAGAGTGCAGGAGAGACACGGAGGAAGAAAAGCAGAGAAGCATGAGTGTTTTCATATCATGCCCTCACATATACTGGAGAAATAGATTCTTCTGAGACGAAACATCAATAGTCACTGGGGTATTTGTTCTTAAATATACATTAAAAAACATTTTATACTTTCATTCTGTGTGCGCTCTGCAGTTTTTTGCCTAGAGGTATGACTTTAAATTCTAGCCTGGGCACTATTATTTTATACTGCATGGCCATGTGGGCATTAGTTCTTCCACTTGATTTAATTGAAATGAAAAAAAATGAGAGCAGATTAGAAAGTGAATCTTTAAATAGGTCCACAGCCAAAACCTTGTTAAGAAAAAGAAGAAAAAGTATTTTTATGTTTTCTTAGTGACAAAAAAAAGGTTAATTTGTGAGTGTGTGTAATACATGAAAAACAGTACACGAACAATTCTAAATGCAATTTAATTGTATTATCCTAATAAAAAGTGTCTCCTATTAGTACTAAATAGGAATAGAGTTAATTGAGTGTAAGTCATGACAATTTCTTATCTGGCACCCTTTTGTTTCTGATTTGACACTATAACATTTTTGAGAACCCCAAGATGACAAAATGGAGGTAATTTTAATGGTACTTCCGTTAATAAATATGTGGGATTAGTCTCGCCCTATAAGTGAGGTTATGATTATACTAAAACTTCAAATCTTTGCAAGCTTAAACACATCAAGATGATCAGTTGGGCAAAATCTCTCTTCAACTAACTTGCTGCTCTTATTTACTGACTGAATCAAACAGGGCTCAGACATTTATTCCATCCTCAACCAGTCCCAACCTGTGCCTCCACTTCCCCAAATCAGTGACACAGGCCAAGCTGCAACTTATTAGTGTAAGGAAGGGTCAGCCTGAACAGGTCAGCAGTTCTGCTCTGCACTGTACCCGGCCTACCCTGTTCACTGGCCAATTCAGTTTGGGAGACGTTTGGGTCGGAGCACAAATTTAAAAAACGATGTGAGGGGACAAACAAACAAACAAACAAAAATTCTCGTTATTAAAAGCCTGCAGTACCTTATTTATAACTATTTTTTGAAACATACATTTGTTGTATTCCGGCCCCAAAAATGTCTTGCAGAGAAACGCCCTTTAGTCCTTACTACAGTAAGTCTCACAGCTACACCTCCCTGCATTAGCGTTGCTATGAGAGAAACAAATATGCCATTAGAAGCCCTTTTACAAGTAGGCACTCATCTTCCAATTAGCTTAATGTGGCCCTCTTTCCCCTATATTTTCCAAGCGCGCCCCACCTCTTCTTGTACGCTCCCTCCAGTAAAATCTCATTAATCCACCCCTCCCCCATCTCCCCCAGTGCTATGACATATTAGTCTGTCATTATGCATCCCATAGTCCTTTAAACAATACAGCTAAACCTCTGTTTGCCAGGTTAATGACTATTAGCCAATAATTACAGCGCAGAGACGATGGAGTACCCACTTTATCCGGTGGACAGCCTGCTGCTGTTAGTTTATTTTATCTCCCTGCATCCATGTCTCTCAGAATTAATCTAGCAGCGTCTGTATTTATTCATCTCTCCACCGCTGCGATGAATTCTTAATTCATGGCCGTCTCTAATACTGTGGTGCTGGATGTTGTGTAGTGGGTGTGTGTAGCGGGGTATCCGCCTTGCAAATTGCTGACAATGAGGATGAGCAAATGATGGCCTTGTCATGGGCCAGGGCACCACTGTCAGTTAAAACAAATCAGGCAATTATGCAATTAGTACTGTGGGTTATGCGCTGGGCTGTATTAAGAGCCGGGGTGTGCGGCGTTGTTAGGTGTTATGGTGTGCATAAGGGATTAACAGCTTAACATGTATATGCTTTTCAAATATCATCACCTATCATACTCAAGGATATGTATGTATTTATTTGGAAAGCAGTGGAGAGAAATGCAAAGCCACGCACACGCTTTATGAAAAAGGACGATAGCTGCTGTAACTATATCTTCAATAGATTGAGTGGGAGATCTCTGACCCTCATGGAGATTGTGTCATATAACGCCTCTGATGTTTACATTTTCGTGTTAACATGTGCGCAGTCTGTGTAGGGTGACGCTACACTGGTCACACATTAACATGAGGGCAACTCGAAGCACCGTAAGACGGCATCACTTGCAATCGGATAGATCGGTTCTCACAATGGCAAAGTGAACCATGGGAACCACATTGATTCACCAATCACCTTTCAGTGAATGCGATCTCCACAAAGCCTCCAGGGAATCCCCATTGATCCACAGTCCTGCTTTCAGACGAAGTTCCTTAAAAAAACCCCGCTCTATCCCTGTGTTCGCCACTTCAAGGGAGGTTAAGCAGAAGTTCCTTGTGATCTGAGAAGGTCTTGAACCTTGGTGCTTCCTTTTCCATATTCTGTTTCTCTCCCTACCCCATCTTGGGGCTGTATGAATAATGCAGAGGGTCTAGTGGCGAGGGGTGCCATGGGGGATGGGTTCACGAAAAGCCCACTGCCTGGAGCCATCACATCAGAGGGCAACAGCTCCCAAGACACAGGCTCCTCCCCCATTGGCTCCTCAGTGGTAGGTCAGAGGTCATGTGTGAACAACCAGCTCTACTTCTTCCCCTGTGATGGGCCGCAGGGAAATCAGTAGCTCTGTCCAGATGCGGATGGAGGACATTTGTAAGAATCATAGAGGTTGAAATTTGCACTGTGATCATGTTAAACTCCTCTTTTATGCGCTGCAACTTCAAAAGAATGTGTTAGCTTTGGAGGTGACCTTGTGTGCACCTTAGAGGTTTGATGTTTTCTAAACTAAAGAAACATTAGTAGCTAACAGCTCTCCTTTAGATTTGCAAAAAAATGACAAATAACAGCCAAGCTGGTACGTCTTTAGACACCATTGATGCCTTCCTGATTGTGGTCTGGTTTAAATTTTTTACACTTTAGTGGGAAGTTAGATACACACAATCAAAGAGCTCAACATTATGTTAAAGTGTATTGTATTTTACGAGCACTTGTGTTCATCCTTTGTGTGCAAGCTTCGCTAAATGTGTCAAACACAATCGCTTCAACCTTTAATTATACAGGATAACGGCCCTTATTTTCTGCATTGATAGAGGAAAGCACACGCCTTTAAAACTACAGCTGACACAGTGATTCAGAAAAGGCCAGAAAGGACCCTCTACCCCAGATCATATTCCTGATTAAAACAACTCTCCTAGATTCCAATATTATCCCTGTTTAAACAAACATGCAAAGGGAATTGTCTTGATCAATATAATCTTCATCAGTGCCAGAAAGGAGAGCTGCTGTGAGGGAAATATAGAGAAGCCCCGGGGCCTATTTCACCAGGTCAGACACACTGATCAACCAACAGGCAGGTACCCTGCCTTCCCCTCTCAACGTGATTTAACTCATGGCTTTGGTTAAAATTTCATGACTGTGTGTTAGTTGTTGCTAAGGGCACGTTAATCGACTTGAGTGAGATTTATGGTGCAGTTGCAGACTGCGAGGATGGGGTCCGGGGGCCTATACTATAAAGGACCACAGACGGGTGAGTCACAATCTGGCACATCACTGGTTCCAGGTGGCCTTCAGTAAACAGTTTCCTTTTCTTTTCCCACTGACTTGTCTTCTTTCAATGACTGTTTTTGAAGAAGAATCTGTCATATTAAAGTTCTCCCAGCCTCTGATTCATCCAACCCCCTGACCTCCACCGCCATCCCCGTCACCACCATTTTGTAGTTTTAAAGCTGTCCCTTGGTATCTTTAAAAGGGGAACTAGCGAAGGTGCAGATGGGGCGGCACATGGAA